CACACACACACACACACACACACACACACACACACACACACACACACAGAGGACCATAACAAGGCTTTAGACCAGACGAGCACCCAGATGATGAAGAGCAGATGTTTTCTCAACCGGGGTTATGCTCCTAAGGCTTCTATACCCTCCAATCCTATAAAATCACACCTCCCCTTTCTCTCCTCCTTTTCCGACGTTTCTCCTCTGGTCTCTGTCCGAGCCATCCATTTTTCTTCAGAGTAAAGACAGATTAGGGGTCCAAATCCCTCGCAATTTGGGTCATGGCCTTTTGTGTGCTCTGCGCGGTGAGAGGAAAGGCTCACCAATGAGCCCCATTTGCTGAAGATCAGGGGGGTTAGGCTGGTCACTGATTGAGGGAGAGCCACACGGTTGGGCCGTGTTTGGAAAAATAATGAGATTGAATTAACAGAAAGTCCATGCTGGTGACCTGGGTATCATAGGAAAGTGGAAAGGAGGAAAAAAAATTGAGGGTGAGTGGGAAGACTGGTCAGAGGAGCCGTGAGAATTTGTGTGAATTTAATTAGAATTCAAATATCTTTAAAGTTTTATTCATGCGTAACCAGTAGATACATTTGTAGTCTGGATTATCGTGTTGTTTCACGTGTCTAAAATAATGTTTCCAGCTGCATTGCACACATGAACTTCGATCGGTGTCTGCAGCTTCCCTTTATTTAAAGTTAACCGGGAAAAAGCTTTGTGTGAGACATGTTCTTACTACTGGAAATACTCAGGAGTGGTGTCCGAGCAGAGCACCGGACATGATGCAACAAAGTGGAAATAGGAGTACTTTTATGAGAGCATCAAAGCAGAGAGGTTTACCAATTCCTCCATAAATCTAAAAGTTTTTGTGTTCTTACCAATAACATGCCAGCAGTTTTGACAAAACAGTTGTAACCAATAAAGCCAATGGAAGAAATGAGCTGCAATATGTAATAAAGAGTGAAATGCAACAATCATCTGCATAGAAACACACTTGCTCTTAATTCATCCTTTTATTTTCTGCCATTTATTGGGTTGTAGAGGCAACAGGACCAGGAGGGATCCCAAGGTGTTCTCAGACCAGAGAGGAGACATAATCTCTCCAGCGAATTCTGGGCCTGCCCTTTAGGCCTCCGAATGGTCCAATGGAACTGCAGAAATTGGCACTCATTGTCGAACTTCCATCCATCCATCCATTTTCTTCCGCCTATCCGGGGTCGGGTCGCGGGGGCAGCAGCTTCAGAAGGGAGGCCCAGACCTCCCTTTCCC